CCCAAGGTGCCAGTGAGCAACACCAGCCCTCTGAATTCTAATTCTGATCCCAGCACAGATCTCCTTGCTAAGGTGCATCACAGCTGCCAAGTAAGGGGTGGACACACACTCAGTGTTTCTGTTGCTTCATACAGTGTTGGATTTTCTTCATATTTCTTAAACTGTAAATCACCTTGTATTTGAAAGGCATCTAGGGTATGTGTGTGAGAGAGGGGTGAGGAGGCTGGGGAGAGAGGATGAGAAGGTTTTCAGGGAAAATATTTCTCTCTAAAAATCTTCGGAGTGCACTAAACATCTCGCCATAACAGCAGCCACACAGCTCAATCCTTCGGCCTCACTGCCACATACTGCTGGAGAAAGCCCATGAGCCCAAACCAGGCCTCTGGGACGTAAGCAGGGAGTGAGGCTGGGGAGAGTATAATGAGATGATTTTAAAGCCCCATTAACTTTTTCCATTTTAACTGATATTTCTGGATGAGGCACTAATTCTCTTGGGAGGTCAATTCTAAGACATTCCATGGAGTCCAAAGCCAGCTATAAAAGACCTGTGTTGAGCAAAGTTGCTGAGGAAAGAGTTACCCTTGAGTTTCCAATGCCGAGTCAGGAGGCCGAGTCAGGAGGCCGAGTCAGGAAGCCATAATAATTAGGGGAAGGGGGCTGCCTTCCCCTGTAAGGCAGGCAAGATGGAAGGACCTCAGAAGGTGTTCCACTTACTGGTTTGAGAACCAGGATTCCTTGCTGATTAGTACTGAGGAAACATTAATATCCAAACGAAGGCTCAGAGGTTTGAGTCAATTTACAAGGATCCTGTGGATGGGAGACAGCAGACCTGGACTTCAGAGCAGATTTGGTAGACAGCAAAACTGTGTTTTTCTCCCCCAACCCAGTGTACCAGCATAGGAGAAGTCTCTGGGGCTGCAATGGCAATTGATAATAAGTCCTTATTCCTAGGAGCTCAGAAAGAACCAAAGATTTAGAATGTCAGAGGCGGTGATTTCTTAAAAAAGATTTACTTATTTATGTATACAAGAGCTGGGGTACAGGCCAGAGGCACCGGGAGTGAGAGGATTCACCAGAGACAGAGTGGGGAGCAGAACAGGCAGATTGACAAAGTACACTGCTGAGGGGAGCAGTGGGATTGTCAGGAGAGTTCTGCTGTGCCCTGTGGGTCAGCTCCCTGGTAGGGGCTTGAACTTGTGCTGCAGTAGCTGCGACAGCTTCATGGTGCTGTGCTTTAACTCACTGCACCGCCAGGGAGGGCCCAGCATTGGTCACTCTAATTCCAGCGGACTCATTTTGGCCTGAAGTACATTCTCTCAGTAACAGAAGCTCCTTATACCTCAATGTTTACACTCATGGAAGAGGGAGTCAGACTGACCATCCACTAAACTGTGACTTTGAATATACCCAAGGACTTACAAAATATTCTCGGGCCCTTGGCACTATGTCAACACAGAGTATCACCTTCTATTATTAATGAATAATAGCTGCCACTGCATAGAACACTGAAGTCTAATGCTCTGTGCATTAGTGAAATGAATCCGTTTGGTAAACGAAGTGACCCCATTTGCAACAGCAGGGACAGAAGTGGGGGGGATTATGCTAAGCAAAATAAGTCAGAAGGAGAAAGACAAATACCGGATGATACACTCATATGTGGAGTAGAAAGAAACACACCAAAGGAACAGACAAAACCAACCCTAGAAATCTGACAGTGGAATTAAGACAACCAGAAGGGGAGGGAAGGGCGAGGGAGCTCTGTGGACTATGCAGGAGGGCTGGTACTTCGGTGGTAGCTGTGATGTGGTAACATATCTGAAGCGATGTAAACCTATACTTCTGAATCATAGACAGTGTTGTAAACTAATGTTAACTCAGTAAGAAAATAAAACGGACAAAAAAGAAAAAATGAACTCTTACCAGCCACCACAGCACTGAACTGATGGAGGCTGGGGGAGTCAGACATGCAAAGATTTTGAAGTCTGATTCCAGCTTAAGTTCTGCAGGCAGCGTAAAGGCCTAACTGAATCACAAAGGAAATGGAAATGGAGTGGAGGGGAAGCCATCGAACCAAAACATAGGGCCAGGAGAAATGGTGAGCCACAGTCCCAGGGAAAGTCAGCACCTACTTTTTTATCCATGGTTTTCAACCTCCTTCTCTGAATTCACACAGCAGGGCTACCACAGCTGCTCAACAGCTGCCCAGCTCCATCCCAAGGCAGGTAAAACTGCCCCTGAGCAGAATGTGCATTGAACCAAAGCAAGAAACTCCATGCCTGCCTCCTCCTGTGAGGCTGCAGACGTCAGAGGGGTTCTGGCTTAGCGTGCCACAGAGGGTTGTGCAGAAAGAGTCTGGTCAAGGCTCTGGAAAGCCCTGTGGAGTCTGTGGGGAACAATAAGAATGCAGAATATAAATGTAAGCTGCAGGCTGATGGGCCCATTAGGAATTAGGGCAGTCTTTGAAAGGAATCTGCGGAGATGATGCAAAACCCCAAGCATGTGACCCACATCGTTGCGGGGCATATTGGAGGGAGAGGGGACTGGGAATGAGACATTTTCTAATCTGATTAGTCTGAAGTTTCCCCTGAGTGTGGAGAAGGGTCACTGCGCAATTAGAGGAAAGTTAGACTGAACACGGTCTGCTGAGTGGCTCAGAGGGATGACCTCCTTGGAGCTAAGCTGGCTTCAGAGGCAGATGTGTTCTGAGACTGAGATGACTTCGAAGCAAGCCGTGGCATAGTTGTTCTGCCTTTAATGTCAGATCGTAAAGACAGAGACAAAACACGCTGTTTAGGGAATGAGAGGATGATGACTTGGTGGCCTCAGTTACGGGTAAGAAATATTTAGATCCTCCAGAGGCCAGGCTCCCGCATTTCTAGACTTTCCAGGACAACTCATCCTTGAGGCCATCAAAAGATAATCTAATAAACTTCCACAGCTTCCTGACTAGAAAACAGCTTAATGTGTGAAAGGCATTCAGGCCCAACTGTGTAAAAATAAGATTTCTTCCATGTTGAAAGACAATTTTTTTCCTACTTCATTCCCTAGTCAGAGTGTGTGGTCTGCAGTCCTGACTTAAAACTTCTCTCCTAGTTACCAGTCAATTCTTGGTGTCAGGTGCTGTGCTGGGTGCCATATGAATATCTTCATGATTCTTCTTCAGAATCACTAGGAAATAGGTATTTTTTTTTTTTTATCTCTACAGGTAAAGGATCTGGAGTTCCAGCAGGTCAAAAGTCTTGCAGAAGACCAACCTCATGTAAGTGGACTCAAAAGAGTATAGGTGACCAGCTAAGGGGTGAAACTGTTGAAACGTGACAACCCGCAGATTGTTGATAAGCAGCAAATCAAACAGCTTAGAGCAGGTCTCTGTATCTGAATAGACCAATTATCAAGTCACAAATCTTCACTTGAAGGTGAGAGAAAAAGAGAAACAGAAATAGCGTTCTGAGAACCTTTAGGAGATTCTCACTGCCAACCAAGCACATCCAAGAGGGCTTTATGATATGGTATTTCTGGAACTAGGTCTTGAAGAAAGCAAACTTTCAGCAGGAAAACTGCCAGTTACTTCCTACTGAAGAAATAGCAAACAGAAAGGCAAATGGGTGGGAAGGCAGGAACAATATATGCAAAATACTCAATGGCCCATTTGGCTGGACTAGTGGAGGTGGAAAGGGGGACTCTGGGAACGTGGTTCCCATGGAGAAAGAACCCTGACTCTGAGATCTATCTGCTTCATCTAGGGTCCTTTACACCGGATGATGTACTTACCCTGCTAGCAAACGAAAGCAAGGGCTGAAAGGCTAGAAAATCACCCCAGCACAATCCACTGCACACAAACGCCAATGAACCGGCCATCTTCCTGATTCCTCTCCTGACACCTCAGACACTAGTTCTTCCACATGGAAGACTGTGTTATCTGTTCTTTTGGGTTCTCCTTTTGTCTTAGATGAGGACTCGCAACTCCATACCCTGTTTGCAAACAACTGTCCACATGAAAACCCTCAACCCCCATAATGGAGAAGTGGGAAAAGGAGTTCAAAGCTAAGGAGACTTAGGTGCTAGAGAACAAAGACACAATAATGGAGGTTTGAGAGCAGCAGAGGAAGATTATGGCATGTTTGCTCTTAATGTAACTAGTTGCTATAAGGAAAGATGGATTTTGAAACATAGAGACTGGTGGAAGAAAGACCAGCATAGAGGTCCTGCAATAATGAAATGTGGGTCAGACCAAGGGTAAAGATAGTGAGGATGGAGAAGAAAGAAAGCATGTAAGCGACAAGAAGTAGGTAGAACTACAAAGACATTGTCATCTATTATTTGTAGTCAATAACTCAAGGAGGATAGAAGCTGGGGATGTGTGTGCAACAGGTACAGGGGTTAAATCACAGCTGCCACTTCTAGACTTGTAACTGTGGGCAAAACAGCTCATCACCCTAAACCTCCACATCATTATGTAAGGTAGGAGGATAATTGCCGCAACATCAGCATTTTCCACATGAGTAAGTCAGAGGATCTGGAAATGACATGAGAAACATACAAGGTGGTAAGAGACTGGACGGTGAGGAGGGTGGTGACAGGAAGGAAGAAGACAGGTACAAGAGGATGTAGCTTACTGTGCTTTACATCTGCTGCGAACAACCCTCGGTCCTCTCACTGCATGTCATTAGCTCTCAGAAACTACTCTTTTGCCAAATCTGCCTTGAAATTTTACATTTGTCTTCAGAGCCAAATAAGTTACATTTTCATTTCATTACAGGAACCTCTCTCTGTGTGTGTTAATGTTAAAAAAAGATAATAATTCTTAATAGGCTCTTTCATACTCAAAATCGTGACTCACTTTTCCTGTTGTAACACTTCAGTGGAGATGTGTCAGTAAATAAGATCATCAAAACAATCCAGGGTAAATTAGGGTCAATTAAAGGCATATACAAAACTAGGAATAGTTCCCAAAACAAACCCAGCAGACAATCTCCCACCCTGGGAGAGTCTGTGCTTACCTGGCCAAGAGGGATCCTAGAAGATCATCAGTCAAAGGCAGCCTGGAGGATTTGCACAGCCTTCTCATGTCTTTGGTGGGTATTACATTTTTTCTGCATGAAAACAAAGTAAGTGGGTACATAAACATTCTGCATGAAAACAAAGTAAGTGGGTATGTAAACATACTGTGTGTCTCTTGACAACGGCATGCTGGATAAAAGAAAATACAGATGTTCCCTTAAAATATACACATTTAAATAAGTGTGAAAATTGGGACTGGAATGTATGGTGAGAAAGAATTATACTGCATTTCACCAACTTATTCCATGTCAGAAGTCACCAGACTCTGTCCTTACAAATGCATTCCCATCAAACTACAGCTTCTTGGTTGGCGTTCGTATAACCTATTCAGACTGTGGCCACAAGTACTGCTCTAAGTAATCGATCTGCATTCTTGATAACTAGTCAAAAATGATGCTGATACTTGAAAACATCTCTTAATTTTACAGGCATCAACAGCCTCCAACACAAGTATTATGTGGCTTGAGGGTGTTTTTCTGGCCTTTTCTTTGGACCCAAACTTTAAAACCTAGAAGCCCCAGCTGACGCCTTAACATTCACCTCAATTTTGTTGGATGGTTTTCTCTAGAGCACTCCAACAACCATTTCCCCCAGCCTGCTAGGGGCACAGAAATGCTTGTAGTGTTTGTAGTGTTCTCTCTCAGCCAATGTTCTTTCAGGGACTAGGCAGAATGAGAAGCAACAGGAAAGAAAGCGGGCTCCTTTCTTTGCACCAAGGTTATCAGAATATTTATGCCTACAACCCAAGCTTGCTGGATCTGGAAGAATCTCAGAGAGGTCCTATTATTCCCATATTAGTGAAAGGGGCTGCTCGTCCCACTTGGGGGAAGAATAACCCTGTGGTGGAAGGTAGCACCAAGGTCATGGCAAGCTTAGGTCACAAATCCTTCAGAAAGCTCACAGGATTCAAGGAAAAATTTCATCTTCATAAAAAACCTCAATGAGTATGTATTATTTATGAGGAAAAATAATGTTCATATTAAGACAAGCTATGGGACACTGAATAATATTTAAGGTAGGCAGCTGGCCACTTGTGTACCAACCATTTAGGGAAGAAGGAAAGGGTTATGGGAAATGGAGATGACATCTTTAGAAAATCTTTAGAAAAGGGATTTTCTATTGATAACTACAGTATTCTCCCCTGACACTATATCAGGTCTGTGGATAAAATGAACACCAAACAGACTAAGATGTGGCTCCAGCTACTTATAAAATGACTTAAGTAAAGCTCCTATAAACATGATAAATGTTTTAGAATTAGATGGCTGATCATCATTATTTATTATTTACGAGATCATTTTTATTTGTTTTTTATTATTTTATATATTTTTTTGTAGCACTCTTCATTTTTATACAATGTACGCTTTATCATTTATCTGGGTAATTCCCATGAAATTCCCACCATCATTTCATCCATACACCATCATCATAGTCCCCTGTGCTCTTTTCATCCCTATTTTGATCCAGATGATCCAGCAATTTCACTCCTATAAGTCTACCCAAAGGACCCAAAAACATTAATTCAAAAGAACAGCTGCACCCCTATGTTTACTGCAGCACTATTTCTAATAGGTAAGCAATGTAAACAACCCAAATGTCCAAAAATAGATGACTGGATCGAGAAGATGTGGTCTATATACACAATATCCCAACACAATGGAATATTACTGAGCAATCAAAAAGATAAACTTATGCCATTCACAGAAACATGGATGGGGCTGGAAGGGATCATGCTCAGTGAAATAAGCCAGAAATAAAATGAAAAAAAATCAGATGGCTTCACTTATAGGAGGAGCATAGCAGATTCAAATAAGGGATCGGGGAAAAAAAGAAATTCTGGGAAAAGTTAAATCGACCCCCTATTCTATTATAGAAATCACATAAACTACAGTTATCACTAGAATAATGTAATCACATCTCACAATTAAGCCTTATACTATCTTGATTTACTGTTTCAGTTGAAAGCTTCTAGAAGCCAATTAAAAGAACATGCAAAAGGGGCATTCTATTCTTTTGAAGCTATAGGATCTTCCCTATCCCATCAACAAACAAAACTCACCATTGCCATGTATCATTTGTACTAGCTAATGTCCTGAAAGAATTTTAGTCACTTTGTTAAGTAGTGGAATATGACAAGCTATGTCAATTTTCTTTTTACTCTTTTCGATAAAATATAACTTATATTTTATAATCATTACTTAGATTCACAGAAACTTCAATGGAAGTTTCATCAATGAAAGCTTACTTTTCTCGATCTTCATATACACAACTGGCAATGAGTTTTTCAAAATTCTCAAAAACATTTTTCTTGAGCTGTTCATGGGCCATTGCAAGTAGGATTTCTGTGACTGGACATGGCTCATCGGGTACTCGGTAGTGACGAGCAATCGTTATAAGTTCTTGGTCTGTGAGTTTCCCAACAGTTACAGCCATCACTATATCCCTGTAGAGAAAATAGAAAAACACTTGTGAAATTATAGCTAAAAATATTTTGCCTCTTTATTAAAAATACTAAAATCTCATTTTATAAAATATTTCCCAATTCCACAGAGGACGGGTATTTTTCTTTAATTCTCTACTTACGAGCAGTAGGGTGGCAAATGCCAGAATGGAAAACCATAGCACCATAGCTCATAAATTAAATAAATGGCACTTTTCCCAGAGTCAAACTTATATCAGATAATGTCCTACAATCAGGAAGTAAATTCATCATCTTTTTAAAGATGATGAATGGTCAAAAATCTGATCACTAAATGAATGATTTTATTCAATATCTGTTAACCATCCTTCGCACACAATTGTAACAAACTTGGGGTTCTGGATTCCCAGAGTGTAAAGTTTAGAAATCAGTAAATAAGAAGGTGTTTTCAAGACAGGAAGAGTGATTACATATATCTCTGTAGCAGAACGTAAAACTGACACTCCTTGCTAGTGAGGAAAAAAAAA